AAACAGCTTAAAGTCATTTTCCTTTGGTGTATATTGCCCACATTTCGTTTAATGGCACTTGATGCATGTAACTTGAGGGCTATTTTCCCCATTTATGACTTCACGTGTGTTTTCTTGCCACAATAATTCTAGAAAATAAAAATATGCAACTTTATTATATGTTCTATTTACATAAAAGTTATGTTAAGTCTTTAACTTTAATTCAAGTTTCTATAGAATAAAACACTGGCTTCCAAAATAAGTGAATGTTTGAGAAGGACAGTAAGGACATCTTACACAATTTTTAAAATCTACTTTCTCACGTAACAGTGGCAAGCTTCTCCTACCAACGGCGAGAGTATAAGCCATAAACATCTGCAGAACTAAAACTTGTGAACCAGTGTAAATCCATGTAGTGCTGACTTCCTGACTTGGCAGACATATAGTTGCACTGCCTCTGCTGCTGCTGCTCACAGCTTTGTGATACAGCAGCAAAGCACTACTTACAAGATGTTCAGTTTAACTGCTACTACAGTAGAATCTCAGCTTTATGAACATCTTGGGAATGGAGGCTGTTCGTAACTGAACAAAACATTATGGCTGTTCTTTCAAATGTTTACAACTGAACATTTACTTAATACAGCTTTGAAAGTTAACTATGCAGAAGAAAAATGCTGCTTTTAACATCTTAATTTAAATGAAAAGCATAGAAACAGTTTTCTTGCCTTGTCAAATCTTTTTAAAAAAAAACAAAAAACCTTTCCCTTTATTATTTTAGGAATTTACATTTAGCACAGTACTGTACTGCCCCACTCACTTTGCAGCAAGCTCCTCTTTTTCTCCTGCCAGCTGAACAGGGATGAAATGAGGATAGCGGGGAGAGAACTTCACATTCAGACATTAATAGCTACAGACTGAAACAAAAGACTGGGCCCCCTATATAGCATTCAGAGACAGCACTCTGATAGCGATCCCACCAGTCTTCCCACTCCCACTTTGTGTGTGGGGCAGGGAGGAGGGCACACATGCAGCAAGGGCCGATTAGGCCAATAACTACGACGTTGCTCCTGGACCTTGCTCAGCTTCTCCTCAGCTTCCCTAATAACCTGTGGACAATGGGAGTCTCGTAAGTTTGCCAGCTCTGATATTATGTAAATTCTGAAATACCTGAAAACTGAATTTTTACCAAAGGGACACTATAAATCTAACTTCTGTTTGAAAGTGTTTTAACACAAACAAGACCTACAATTACTGTAACTGAAAGATCAGAGGTAAAATATATATTTTTTTAACTTTGTACATTAGACAGTATTCGATCTATAGTCAGCTTCACAGTTTTTCCTGAATATTCAACTCCTTTACTTTCCCCAAATATGGGCCTTACACAACACAAGAGTAGGGAAAAAAGAAAACATAAGAAAATGTGGTGATTGAACCACAAAAATTGGCAAGGGGACTCAGACAGTTATAGTACTAGAATCTACTTTAATTCATACTTTTAACTGGGTAGATTCCAGAGTCAACAGATACTGGATATCTCTTGCTCAAAATTATTAACTTACCTGGTTATGTCAAATACCCGGTCTGCTACTCTGCCACCAACCTAGAGAATTGCAAGAGATTAAGATACAGGCATTATAAATAAGAATTAACCATCAGCTACCCATCCCTGTTCTCCCTGAGAGTAGAAAGTTCTTTTTTTGTTAGCAGTGCAGGGTGGGGACAAAGAGGGAGGAGCTGTTAGAGGGTCAAATCACAGAATCCTGGGCCAGGTCTACACTAGAAAGTTGTCCCAGTGAAGCTCACACTTTTTTTCAGGACAGCCTTGCATGCATCCACACTTAATTTTGTTACCCACCAGCAGAACCTTCCACTTCTTCTGGCATAGTTTTGCTCCTTTTCAGGAGCAAAGTCCCCTGCTATACAAGCACAGTAGCAATGTGGACATGCACAAACCTATACCACCTAAGCAGTACACCTGCAATCCCACAATACAATATTCCCTTCAGGAGCAACCTGTCTGGTAGCACTTTCAGACTGTGCTGCTCAGGAGTCAAAGCTACCAGAAGTCTGCCTCACATTATGGCACTCTCACAAGAACAAGACTATTGGCAGTAACTTGGCAAAGAAGATAGCAAAACTCATTCTCTAGGCAGGAGTCTCAGGGCATGTCTTCACTAGCAACAGCAGCACTTTCACATGGCTTGTGTAGTCCTGGCATAGTGTTGGGAGAGACTTCTCCCAGTGCTGTAAAAACAACTCACATCCACAAGAGGAATCGCTCCAAGTGCTGGTGCATTCTCTACACTGGCACTTTCCAGCGCTGAAACTTGCAGTGCTTGGGGGGTGTTTTTTCTCACCCGAGTGAGAAAGTTGCAGCGCTGTAAAGTGCCAGTGTAGACAAGCCCTTAGTGCCTTGCAAAAGGGGAAGGGCCTGAGGAAGGAGAACAGAAGGTGAAGGAAAATAAGCTTTGGAGTCACCTGCCTGACCTGTGCCTTTTATGAACTGGGTGCTTTACCTATCAGGGACCCTACCACCTCCACTGTAGACACTGCATCCTGAAGAGAAGGAACCCCACACTCTAAAGAAGAGAAACAGGCTTCTCCCCTCCTCCCCAGCCAGCAGACAAGGAAGAGGTTTCAGCATGGGCCAGAAAGGGGATAACCAGAGGGAGTACAGCCAGGATCTGTTCAATACCCAGCCAGACCCTGAACACCTTACACTGACACCCTTTACCTCTGGAGGAGGGAGATGCATGTGATCGTTAATACTGTACTCCACTGTATAAACCACATTGTAGATGGATGCACCCTAACTCTTTGTCAAGTGAGTGTTGCATGTTCGCAAAAGCCTGAAAGAGCTGAAGTGGCATCTGCCTATATATCCTTTCCTCCTGTACAGCCACAACCCACATTTTCATTACTCCTTCCCCCAGCTATCCATTTTTACAGTTACATGCTCAGGGAAATGGTCGCGCCGTCTCAATGCACCCCAATTAACCAACTACTTCCCTAGATTATAAACCCAAATTAGCACCCACCTTTAACTCATCTTCCCCACCCTCTCGAAATGGGAGACAAAGCACATGAGCGGAGAAGGGGGTTTGTTAAAAAACACGTTTGTATGGCGCAGGTCCTACCAGCAGTGCAAGGCCACGCTGGTAGCAGAAGGAAGGAGCTTCTGTTTGAAAAGTGTTTTAACACAAACAAGACCTACAATTACTGTAACTGAAAGATCAGAGGTAAAATATATATTTTTTAACTTTGTACATTAGACAGTATTCGATCTATAGTCAGCTTCACAGTTTTTCCTGAATATTCAACTCCTTT